TATTATACTCGACTCAATTATTTGCAAAACTGGCTAATTGCATTTCGAAATAAAAAGACAAAATATTCGTATTCAAGGCAACATAATTTTAGCAATATAAAACAATAGAAACACGTTTTTTGTCTTGTACTATTTAAAAATGCAATTGGCTTGCTTTTGCTAATAAACGACTTTAAATTTTAAAAGTTAATTTAAACAATACCTACATCGCATAATTTTGTTTGTATTTGATATAAGATCAATATTTTAACATATCTACGGGTATACAGCTGACTTTTAATCTAGGATTAAACATTTTATGTTTTATCTACAACAAAAAAGGGCTGATAAGTATTTTGCAGCCCTGAGCTCATGTTTTGTTTTTATAGGTATACCTATTGCTTAAAACAGTCCACAAATATTCGTAATTAATAAAGTTATTATTATCATTTCTTAATTAAAAAAAATAATTTTAAAAGCATAAAAATTCTTATTAAGTGAGTAGGAATACTAAATTCTTTTTACTTAATTAACAAGTCGTTGCAGCCGTTCTTTAAAATGATACCCTTTTCATTGTAAAAATAAAATTTCTGGTTTTTAGTTGAGCTGAACAACTGTGGGAAAATTACGTTGACTACCTACATTCTTCGTTTCAAGCGATTGTTTCTCAAAATATTTGTTTTACTTATTTTTCAAAATAATTGTTTTTTGAACGTTTTAAATTACAAATTTCGAGTTTTGGGTAGTTTATTATTTATATATCTATTAATTATAAAAAAATTATCTGAAAAATGTTTAAACTGAAATAAAAGGACAAAATAAATAAAATGATTCGCTTAATTAAAAAATCCTTTAAAAATTCTTTTATATGTAAAATCATAAACAAAATAAAAAATATCATAATTTTTTTTTAAATTTAAATTTAAATAACAGAAAGTGTAAAAATATACAGAATATTTGAAAATAAAATAAATAAATAGACTTTATTATATTGGAGAATAAAAAATAAATAATTTTTAAATTAATTACACTGCAGTGGTTTACCATTGTTTACAGCCAAAATGTACAAATTCGATGCCACTACTTTTTTCTAATGTATTTTGGCTTGTTAAACTAAAAAACCACAATATTTTTTATTGCAAGGTTTTCAAGATTTAAATTGTTAATTTGTTTTAGTTTATTTTCGAATGCAGATTTACAATTTGGGACTCTCTAAAAATAAAGTCCACAGCAATTTGTATCCCCGACATTTAACAGCCAATTCTTATGTAAAATTGTCCCCTGAATCCGAAAAGACCAATTATGAAAGTATATGGAAAATTAACTCAAACACTGTTTTACTTTTTATAACTTTTGACGACATTTTCGGATTTAGCAGATAATTTTACATAGAATGTCCGGGAATCCCGGACCGGGATACAAATTGCTATTGACGAGAATTATTAGTGGCTGCTTTTTCGGTATGACATTTAGTCATATTTGACCAAGTTATTTTTAGAAAGGACATATCTTGAGTTAGAAACGGCCAATCTGGTTGCAAAAGGTGTCAAAATAAAATAATCAAATAGACGACCAATATCACTTTGTTAATGCCCAATTAGTTGAGTAGTTTAAATGCAATGGTCTCGAGAAGAAAAAATAAGTTGTTTGTTTGGACAAAAATAAGAATGCCAAGAAGCCTTCTGAAGAAGGGGTAAAATATAACCATTTCAACGAAATATCTATAGATATACGATATACGAACACGTTTGCGAAAAAACAAGGTATAAGAAAAAAATATATGGATTAATATCAAAGTTATGACCGTTTATGTACAGGGTGATCCCATATAAAGTCGCCCCCCTTTAACTTTTTTATTTTAAGTGTCCCAAAATATTTAAAAGTGTGGTTATGTTAGTACTAAAAAATACTTTTTTTCTACGTTTCTGAAATATTTAAATTATTTTTAAGATAATAAGTTAAAATAGTTTGTCTTTCTTTGTCTGCGTACGCCATTTTTACTTATTTAATAAGACATATTTGGGGCATTCCACGTTACTCGGTAATTTTTGTCCCGCCCGTCACAATTAAAAATTGTTAGTAAAAACCACAAGTTATTAAATTAATATTTTATAATATTATTTTTATTGTGCTTATAACTTATTAAAAGCATAATAAACAATATTTTAAAATAAATTTTATAACGTGGAGTTTTTACTCACAATTTTTAATTGTGACGGGCGGGACAAAAATCCCCGAGTAACGTGGAATAACCCATTTACATAATGCCACTATAGTAATTTATTTTCAATAAAAATTTTGGTATACTGAGGCTTCTTGATTTATAACATTATAAAAAACATTAAATGATAACATTTCGAATGCGAATCAGAATTTTACAAGGAATCGAAAAATAAATTCAAATATAGGGTGATCCATTGAAAAAAAATAAACTTCTTGTTTTTCCCTGTATATTGATCAATTTTTCATTTTTTTTATACATAAAAAAAAGTATTTTTTAGTACCTACATAACCACACTTTTAAATTTTTTGGGACACTTAAAAGAAAAAAGTTAAAGGGGACGACATTATAGGGGATCACCCTGTACAATTAGCAAAATTTTTATTTTTTATATAATATATTGACATTTAATTAAAGAGGGATTTAGAGGGATTTTTTAAACGTTTTTTGTATATTCTTGTAGAGCTCAGCGACATTTACCGGAAACCAGTACAAAAGCAAAACTGGGCACGAGTAATAAAAAAAGTATTCGTAAAATTTTAAGTACGAGTACTTAAAATATTTACTCGTAAGTACTTTACTGGGAAGTACATTTGTAAAGAGAGGTTACGGTAACGAGTAGTAATCGTGAAAACACGAGTAAAGAGTACGAGTACTTTTGAAAAAAAAGTTAGTTAATATAATTGATTATTCTTTACTCTCTAAAAATGGGTTCCCTAAGGGAACTTCCCTTGCGGCCTTGAGTTCACGGTTTATTCACCGTGAATTCACTGTGAATTCACCGTGAATTCACGGTGAATTCACCGTAAACACACCGTGAATAAACCGTCTGTTTGTGACATTTGTAAACGGTATACCGTTATAGTTAGACGGTGAATTCACGCACTTTTCATAGTATTTTAATTGTGAATCCACCGTATTTTGGCGGTATATTCACGGTGAATTCACGGTGAATAAACCGTGAACTAAAAGGCCGCAAGGGTAGGTATATCCTATAGGTTTAACACGACTATAGCTAGCCATTATTCGTTACTGAGCAGATGAGGATTAATGTTCAGCTATGCCATTACAGACGCTCACTTCCAACTAAATATTGCAACTCAACGCTATTTATAGTTAGCTCGCTTGCGTAAGCAGCCGTGAGATGTATTGAGTTCACCGTGAAATCACCGTGAATTAACCGTGAAATCACCGTGAATTTATCGCAAAAACAGCGTGAGTTCACCGTTTAATTACCGTCTACAAATGTCACAAATGGACGGTATATTCACTGCACATAAACGGTGTATTCACGGTGAATTCACGCAAACGGTGAATTCACCGTAAACTCAAGGCCGCAAGGGTTAGTCAAAAATGACTAATTGTCATAGCGAAAAAGCAGCCACTAATAATTCTCGTCAATAGAAATTTGTATTTTTAACATTTAGCAGTCAATTTTCATGTAAAATTGTTCCCTAAATCTGAAAATGTCGTCAAAAGTTAGAAAAGTAGAACAGTTTTTGAGATATAGTCAAATTTACATATAATATGGAATGGACTATATCTCAAAAACTGGTCCACTTTCATAATTGTGGTAATTAGTCATTTTTGACTAATTCATTTTTAGAGAGTGTACATTATATATACATTGGTCCTGAGCAATAAAAATACAAATACAAATTTATAAAATTATTTATTTTAAACATTATGTACATAAAATAATAACAATTCTTAAATAGTTTATAATTTAACCTATTTACTTATTATAAAATCTAAAGGCTATAATATATTATATTATACTATAATTATATATATATTATATTATACCTAGGTTATATAGCTATAATTATAGCTATAATTTAAAGCAGACTTCCAAACAAAATGCTTTGATGCTTACGATATTTTGGCAAAGATTCATCCATCAGCCATTCCACGTTACTCGGGAAATTTTGTAGCGTCCGTTACAATCAAAAATTGTGAGTAAAACTACCGTAATTATGATGCTTATAAGCTTAAGCATAATTATTACAAGCATAATAAACATGTTTGCAATAGTAACTATTGTAATAGTATTTAATTTAATTACGGGAGCTTTTACTCACAATTTTTTATTGTAACGGACGCTACAAAAATTCCCGAGTAACGTGGAATGGCTGCCATATAATAAACGAAAATACTCGTATATATTACTCGTGAATTCCATGAATATTTTTTACTCGTAATTGAAATGCGAGTAAAAGTACTCAGTACTTGGCCAGCTCTATACAAAAGTATCTAAAAATAACGTAGGAATATATATTTTTATGAAATTTTACTTTAAATACCTACCGAACAATAACTTTTAACAAATTTCCCATTAGCAAATCCTGCAAACGGCCCTGACAAGCGCACATGTATGTGTTTTTTTATAAATAGCATTAAAATATTTTTTTAAAGTCTATATTATTTTGAATAATGTACCTAATTAATAATTAATAGAAAATGATGCCTTAAGCTTATATTAAATATAATATAACTAGTTCGGACATCCATGCATGCATGGATGTCCGATGTAAAGTGCACATGCATGTGCACTTTACATTTTGAACATCAAATTTTAAAATGCCTATAGCCTATATATAAAAACTAAAGAAAGCCTATATTTTCAAATTAAAGAGGAAACCCGTTAAAATAAAAAATAAATAATATTTAAAATAAACACAACACTGTGCGAATTATTCAGATAAAAATAATATTTTTTAGATCACCGTGCGCTACTTATTAAGTTATTTTTAAAAATTGCGTTGGCAAACTCGATTCGACAAAGTTGGCAACCTTGAATATTGACAACTATGACAAATCCATTGAATGACGTCATAAATTGTTATTTTGATTGTCAATAACTTTATAAATTACGTATTATAGTACAAAGTGTGTGGATTGATTCTATTAAAATTATACGCAACATCACAAATAAATTAGAATTGTCATTGTATTAAATTAAATTACTTAAACCGTTTCTAAATAGGTGTATTTACTTGTGATAAACAATGGATGAAGATATTTTAACAACTCTTAAACTGCTAATTATCGGCGAAAGTGGCGTAGGAAAATCTAGGTAAATAAAAAAGTGAGAATTCTTTCAGATTCCATATTAACTTTGTATATTTTTAGCCTATTATTACGATTCACAGAAGATAACTTTGATCCCGAGCAAACTTTAACAATAGGAGTAGATTTCAAAACAAAACGATTAAGTATAGATGACAATACCGTTAAATTAGCAATTTGGGACACTGCTGGACAAGAACGATTCAGATCTTTAACTCCATCATATTACCGAGACGCACAGGGTGCTGTTTTAGTGTTCGATGTTAGTAGTTACTCCACATTTGCCAAATTAGAGAAATGGCTACTAGAATTGGACACATATTCAACCAAAAGCAATATTGTTAAAATGATAGTAGGAAATAAAATTGATGTAGTAAGTAAAAAAATCAATATATTTCTACTAAACGATATTCAAAACCTTAATCATTGGCAAGAAATTAGCTTAATTTAAGAACAATCAAATAATCATTAAGATTATATTTTGTCTTAAACTATTGGTTGGTACCACTCTGTATAATTGTCAGAGGAATAACAATTAATTTTGGGACATAACAAGGAAAGGATTTTTCAAGACTTTTCTAAATTAGCTATTTGTAGAGCAAACATGCAAAAACCGAAAAATCCATTTTTACATGTTAATTAAGAGTGTAGAACCAATTCTTACTAATTTTGGTAAACTCTTTTGACTTGGCACAGCATTTTAAGGAAAAACTAAAACAGAGACAACCCCCCAACAGAAGCAACATTCCCTTTTAATAGTTTTTAAACATCTTACCAAATTGTTTGTTAATATATAAATGAATATATACATATAGGCAGGAAGACCTTGGTCATTAGCCTTTTGGTTTATTCCAATAAAGATATTTACTTCTAATACTAGTTCTTAAATATTTGGATGACTTGGCTGTAAACATTTTTAGCCAATAACTCAGAATAAGTTAAAATGGATTCATTGGCTTTTGTGTGTTTGCTTCATATTTATTATTTCCTCTTTTCTTTTTTTTTATAAAATTGACTAACATTTCTTTAATTTAAGGATAACAGAGAGGTCAGTAGGGAGGAGGCCATGAAGTTTGCCAGGAGGCATCAAACTTTATACATAGAAGCCAGTGCAAAAACAAAAGATGGAGTACAGTGTGCTTTTGAGGAATTAGTTCATAAGGTTTGTACTAATATTTTTTGTATAAATATTTCTTATATTATTTTTTTTTAGATAATTCAGACACCACTTTGGGAATCGTATGCTGATAATGGACTGCAAATAGGAAATAAAGATCATCCTGCTGAGTCAAGTTGTGGATATTGTACACTGTCTTAAAATAATAATTGAACAAATTTTAACTGTATATAGGATAATTTATATTATAAAAGTAATCAAATTATGGCATTTTTTAATTTAGTATGTAATACATTTTGTTATAATGCTTTAAATGTACTTTATTGAAATTATAAGCTTTTAATTGTTAATATTTAATAAACATACCTATTCGTAATGAAGTGTCTTAAAAATAAATCATTTTTTAAGAACTGGCCTTTTACCTTGTCACCATGATTTTGTTTTAAATGTGCCTGTTTTGGTTTTGCAGATCATCAGGAGTAGCGTTTTAAGGCGTAAAAAAAACCAGGTTTGGCTTGACCCTTTCCCTCCTAAACACCTCACGTAATTAATGGATGCCCCCAAAGCTACAAAATTTTAAGAAAATATTTTTTTAATTGCGCAAAAGGGGTAAAAAAGGAGAAAGCAATTTTTCAAAAAAATGAGGTTTTTTAAATATAATTAATCAACATCGCATCAGAGAGCAATTTAGGTTTTATAAAAAATTACGAGAATTTTAAGAGACTGTTCGCCTCTGTGCGATAAACGGTTCATAAGTTATTAAATAAAAACATTAGGTAGTTCGTTTTTTTTAAATTGGCGGCGCATAGCGTTGCGGGGGTTTTTCAGATAAATCCGAAAACCAGAATACATATTTTTCAATTTATGCTCTTTTGCTTGAAAAAATAAAATTCCAACGGGTATAAAAGTATTGGGTTCCCTATACAAAATCTTACTGGCCTAAATAATGGTTGTTTAACATCATCATATTTTTTCAGCCACAAAAAATTACTGTTAATAAATTGGTTCGCTAAAAAGGGCTTGTTTTAAAATTGGTGATTTTTTGGGACAGAAAATTCATATATTTAAATGCTGTTTAAGTAGAAAAATCCATTAAACAAATTTGTTTGTTTTATGGTAAAATTAGGTTTACTATATTTGTTAAAATAAAAACGTTATAATTTTTGTTTCTAATAGAAACTGTATGATTCCCTATGATTTAATTAAAATTTAGTTTGTAATTAAAACAACGTAATTATTACTAAATTTGCTTTAATATCAAAACAAAATATATTTTTAACATTTGATTTTTTCCATTATTTACAATAACAATAACAAAATATGCAAAAAATAACAGAACGCAGAGAATTTTAATAAATCTTCCCTGAGACGCATTCCATATCACATTTAAAAAATGTAAAATATATATTAAATATATACATTAGGGCGAGGATCACTTAAAACAGTAACAGACAAATGTTTCCTCATGGAAATCCTACATAAAATTCCTTTTCAAGTAAGTGGCTTACTTACATTCTAAATGCTAAAAATGTCCACTCAATTTAAATATCACACTCAGTCCTTCATATAAATGATGAAATAAAGGAATGCAGTACGCCAAATAAAGTCAGATGGCGCTGTGACATTTAAAAATCACGTCGATTTATCGCATTAACTTTTCTCTAAAACGATATCTTTGGGTTTCGAGTCTGTCGTTGTGGGTTTGATCTCTTTCTTAAGAATATCCGTGGAGTCTTTACTCTCAATTTTTTGCAACAATGGAATAAAGGAGTCTTCCTTCTCCGAATGATAAATGCTCTTCGACTCTTTTCGTTCCTGTTCCGATTGCCATTCGACTTTTTGCTTGTGCTGTCTCGCGTAATCCTCCACTTTGTCCAGGACCATTTTTTCGGTCAGCACGCCATCTTGCGACGCGTACGCTGCGGCTTGCCACGACACTCCCAGCTTCGCGATCTCTCTTCCCGACATGCCTTCGGTCATCCTCGCCATTCTGGTGCAGAGGGCGCCGTAATCGAAGTTGTCCACTTTCAGGCGTTTGTTTCCTTCCGTCGCCGGTTGCAAGACGAACTTTTCGAAGTACAAACGGATGAGACGTTCGCGCTCTTCCAGTCCGGGGAGCGAGAATTCCACCATCTCGTCCAAACGATCGTTTACGGCCCAATCGAATTGTTCGGGTGTGTTCGAGGCGAGCACCAGCATGCATTTGTTGCTCTGTTCGCCGGTTCTGTAAAGGAAAGCGTTTAGGGTTGCGCGCAAATCTTCGGAGATGTTTTCCGATGAACGCTTGCGCAAGAATGCGTCCGCTTCGTCGACAAACAAAAGTAGACCTGTAAGGATAAAATTTAATAAGGTGGTTTTTATTTAAATATTGGTGTGTTTTTACCTTTTCTGGTGCTGTGAGCCCAATCAAACACTTTGTGGATAGCTGTAACGCCGTCTCTTCCCATTGGTGCAATGTCACCACCAGTCAAAATTGCGTAATCCATGCCTGAATGTTTGGCCAATTTCTACAATGAAATACAAATCTGGTCAATGGCCTTTTGTAGATTTTTTAAAATTATTATTAAATACTAATGTTGAATCATATTTTTGGTTGAAAAATGTACAATAATGTAAGTTTAAAATATTATTGCTTGTAGAAACAGACTGAATTATTAAGGAACATAAGTCACATTCGAACTTTTGACGAGGAAAGACCTTTTGTAACCGAGACCTTGGTGAAAACACAAAATAATCTACTCTTACAGAGCAAATTAACTATAATGCATAGTAGCAACATTGAATTAAATGCCACTTTACGGTCACGAAAGTGATACAGAGGGAAGTAATAAGTGACAGCATACGTGGCAGACGAACCACTTGACCTTTACGTGAAGAACAAACGAGGCTAACCAAGAGTAAAAAGGGTCATCATCTACAAAAACCGATAAGTACTCTTAACTAACCGCACCCTTTGAGCGTTTCTTTCCGCCTAGACACAACTAGTAAAAAAAACAAAGAGCAACAGCAACATTAGTAACAAAACAATACAAAAAACAAACAAACCAAGTCGTCCAAATTCGCTATCATTCACGGGATTATAGCTAAGCGGGACAAATAAATCAATCACCAAGTCACAAAACCCATAAACATAAGAGACCGGTCCTAATAAAGAAAAGAGTGTAAACCAATCGAGACAAAAATAAACATTTGGAACCTAGGAACTAACAGACCCTACGTCGAAGATGCATTAATTGAAATAATCAGTCGAAATACGAAAAACAACAAAGACGGACAAATCAATGCGCCTCGGAAGTTTCAACTTCGCAATTAAAATATACCACGGACAGGGTGGGAAAGACAAGATCTCCGCCAGACAACAATTTCCCTACAATAGCAGTAAGCTACAGACTTGGTACATTAGGTACCTACCTATAATCATTACGACAGTATCTCATGGCCAAAATAGCAACCGGCACCCGAGAACAGTCCTACCACGATCGGCACAAACGTAAACATTAAAGCAGTCGGTAATTGTAAATACACTATAACGCAATGAACAAACAACGACAGAGCAAAATCAGAGGTAAACATGCAACTCGACAATTACTTAATAGACAATATACTAGACCATTACAACCTGGACATCATAGCGCTACAAGAAACGTACATAACATAGGGACGCGCTAACAAAAAAAGGAACGGCTGGAATCTGGGTTGGGAAACAAAAAACTACTAGCGGCCTGCTAGTAGCAGGAGGGAGCCGATTTTCACAATAAGGAATAGGGTCATAAAAAAGACAACTTTTTGACACGGATTTAATCAATGACGATCAAGTCGTAGCCTACTATGAAGCGAACTAAAAACTTCCCAACTTCAAACAGTAATCCCAAATGTTTGGAGTGATACTAATGTACCGGTGTAGGGGGATACCGCGTCGTACACAGATTTGATTCAGCCGAATTGTCCCCTAAACACCAAAAGGTCTCCCCATCTTCTTTTAATCCTACTGGGCGTGTAGCAACGGCCCGGCGAAACCAGGAGAAGCTATTCAAACTATTCGTATTGGAGACCCAAATAGGGTACAGTACCGAGCGGGACATAGCAAACACGGGTAAATTCGTGCAGTCTCGGGAGAGATGAGGCAATTATAAGACTCTTATACTTATACTCAACCGACTTAATTATTAAAGGAATAATTAAAAATTAAATTATTAATATCTTTGTTACTATACAACAAAAATAGAGTTGTCGCGGCGAATGTTTCAAATTGCGTCATGAAATTCTGTACCAACCTCAGACATTACAATTGAGGAGTGATTTTTCAAAAGGTCGTATTTCCATTTGCAACAATTTTTCAAAAAAATGACTATAACCTGTATAGGTTAGGGCAATATAGTTTATTTAAAAAAAATTCTGATGAATATTTAATAATACTTCAGACCTGCTGTCATATTTTAACCATACCTTTGGGATTTTGTCAAAAAATTACATTCAAGTAAAAATGGAAATAAGACCTTTTGAAAAATCACTCCTCAATTATTGTTCTTTTCTTTTACGTATATAATCCAAGGAACCGCTAGGTTAACCGTATGCCGAGAAATCGGTTTTTAACATTCAACATTGATGACGCAATTTGAAACATTCGCCGCGACGACTATAGTAACTATATAGTATAGTAAAATTAACGTTTGAAACCCTTAACACTTAATGAAATCATTTATAAATAAAAATGAAAACAAATATTTGGTATTTTTTGGGAAAAAGGTCCCAAAAAATTATGAATACCTATATGAATTGCTAAATTGTTAGTACCTATCTTATAAGACAATTAGTTATAAAATGAAATATTACTTATTTTAATTTATTTGTCTATTGAAGCTATTTATTAAGTCTTTTATATGAAAAATTAAATTACCGAATTACTGATGAAATAATATTTTTTATTAAAATGTTTCTTACCTTGGCAAACATAGTTTTACCAGTACCAGGAGGCCCATGCATAAGAATATTCCTGTACATCCCCTTATTCTGTTTGGTATTTTTAGTGGCAATAGCGACATCTCTTAGCCTCTCCTCCAACTTGGGCGCCAAAATAACCCCACTAAGAGCATCTTGCTCTTTAGTTTTGAGCTTCTTGACGGTTTCAATTGGGTGCTTTGCAGCTTCAAGCAAAGAAAACCTTGAGGTCTCCCTCACCAAAGATGGTTTTCCCAATTTTGACTCAATATACCTGGCTGTTACCCCAGTTGCACCTTTGGCAGAATAGATACCGAGAGCTAAGAGTGATAAACCACCTGCTGCAGTTAGGACTTTATTCCAATCTGACAGCATGGCTTGAGTTCCGGCTCCAATAACTGAACCAGCAGTTCTAAGAAGAAAATTGTATTTGTTGTGCCATATAACTAGCAATTTTACTTACTTTATACTCTCCAAGACAGTCACTCTGTTTTCAGTGGCTTTAAGACGAATTTGTTCCAAAGTGAGATCCCTATTTTCCCTGTCAACTTTAGCTTTCGCAGTCATTTCAGCTTCGACGCGTTTCATTTCATTTTTGTGTCTTAGTTCCATTTCATGTTCAATTGTTGATTTTCTCATTGCTTCTTGCTTGGCCACTGACTCTTCTTGTCTAAAAAATAACAAATATTACATGGGTAAATGTCTGAAATTTATATGTTCATTTTACTGTAGCTACATGTGAATATTGTTATTTTTATATCATTATATCATTCATATTCAGTAAAAAAATAATAAACGTAAAAATCAACCTATATAAAAATATATATGAAATTCTTAATTTACCTTTTGAGGTTCTCATCATTCATCCTCTGTTGCTGCGCTAACTGATCGTCATACCGTTTTCTAGCCAGTGAATCTTGATATTGTGCCCTTTGCTGATGTTGTCTAGTTTCCTCCTGCAACAGTTTCCTTTTTTCTTCCATTTCCGCTCTTTTAGCTTCAATTTGCATTTGGGCAATGCTAGCTTCATACTCTTTAATTTTGGCTTGGTGTTCAACTTGCTTTGTGCTTTCTTGCAATTTTGATAGTTCCAATGCTTCCTTGGCATGCTCTATAAAGTCCAATAAGATATGTATATCATAATCTTAATTTTTTTAACATTAAAAAAAGAGTTTTATGATAGATATACGTATAAGTAATGGTTAATTTAAAAAATGAAACATTTGCAGTAATCTATAGTGTGTATGGAAAACACTTTGTTAATTATACAATATCAATCAAGTTAGTCATTTGGAACAACTTTGACTTAATAAATTTTTTTTCAACTCTTCTAAACTTAATAAAAACAAAACGGTTAAAATAACAATTTGAACGCAGCATGTCATGGTCAGTGACAGATACCCGACCTCGCAGATACCTAACCTTAAATCCACGTTTTTTTGTTATTTATGCCAGTAAATCGGCTAGCGCTTGATGCAATGTTCGGATTTAAATTTTGTTTGTTTGTATTATACTCAGAGAGTTAAAAACAGGTAGGTATTTATTCATTTAATTAATGAATAATAATAATAATTAATTAATTAAATTTAATAGGTATTCATTAATTTTTTAGATGTTCAGTTTTTTCAGCTGTCACTTTGTGTTGCTGCGTCAGCCTATTTTGCCTTTTACAGAGGTGTGCGTTAAACTCTGCATCTTCTTGGTTTTTACAAATATTTAGTTCAAATAAAAACGACGTTAAAAAGCATGACATGTTCTATCCAGTATTTATAGGCGCACTTAACTGTAAAGAAAAAAAAAAGTAAATGTTTCAAAATAAAAACTTTTTTTACAAACTAAGAATAACCTTAAATTGGGTCTAATTAATTTTGAATAAAAAAATAGGTAAATAGTAAATGTTTTCAAATAAAAACTTTCTTTTACAATTAAAAATGTGAAATAAAAACAGACTTTTCTTTAGTTTTTTTCTTGATAATGTCTTCACATCGCATCCTTTTTAAATGGGACTTGATTCGTCTAAAATCGTCTTTTTCACTCTTTTTCTGCTGCCCATGACTTTTTTTTATCTATTTCTGAAGATGTCTAAGGTGTTTTTTTTTAATTTTTAAAGTGTATCCCTTCTAAGATACCTACCTATTTCAGATTAAAAATACCTCAAAACCTCAGCTGTTTAATGTGGTTTTTGTTTTAACTAAATATCTTTAAAAACCAAGAAGCTACAGAGTTCACTCAAAATGACTGCTCACAAAAAACTGAAATTAATGAATACGTTTTCAATTTTCTGAGTATACCTAGTAGTAGGCACTAACTTCTAGCCGGTGCCCCAACATTGATCCCGACTGGACAAAGAATTTATTATATATTATACAATGCATCATTATCATTTAAAATTGGCGGCATAACAATAATATAATAATAAATTGTACCTGTATACATGTTAAGGGCACGTTAGTTACGTAATAAAACCAAACCAACCCAAACTCAACAACACAACCCAACCGACCCCGCCCCATTGGCCCCCCCCCCCGCCCCATTGAGCAAAAAACCCAACTAAAATGGGCAAATTTATGTTACGATAAAAATAAAACACTTTTTAACAAAGGAACAACAAATTTATGAAATAAAAAAGTAAAAAAAATTCGACAATTTCTGAGTATCGAACCCGGGACCTCTCGCATGCAAAGCAAACGCCCTACCATCTAAGCTATCTAGCTTGACAACAAATCACAGACCAGGTCTGTGCAACAAATTTTGTATGTTCGGGGAACAAAACCGGATTATTATTATGACGTCACGTTATAAGGCGGTTCGTGCCAGCACGTGAGAAGTCGGGATCGATGTTGGGTCACCGACTAGAAGTTTCTGTAGTACGCTAGTACAAACAAAGGTAAAAAATAAATAAAAAATAAATACATTTTTTAGCAAACTATTTAGGTAGGTAAATTAAATTGGTTGACTTGATATGTTGACCCCAGTGTTTTACTAATATATATGTATTATATTAATGTAACATTCATATGTAGTAAAGTTTTTGAAAACAACTTTAAATTTTCGTTGTGTGTGCACAGATGATACTATTATTTTTCTTGGTTGGTTGAAATATCATGCTGAAGGTAAAATATTTTCTCAATTTTAAAATTTTGATATAAAACGTTGCCTATATTTCATTTTATTCATGCAAATTGATGTATTTTTGTGTTTACATAAGGGCACAGCAATGTTTTTATATTTTAATTATTTAATTTCCCTTCATTGACTTGTGCAAAATATTTTATTATAACACCAATAAAGATTATTATTATTATTATAGATATAGAAACGCAGTATTTTAAGTAAGGTACAATGAATAATAACTTTGGGGTGTTTTAATTCTGTTATATAATCAATAACACTACAAAGTCCTTTCAAGGTTTTATATCAAATTTTCAGAATAAACCAATACTTACTGGACTTCTCCAACTCTCTGGCGGCTTGTGCAGCCCTCTCCAACGCCGAAGAATCGAACCTGTAAGCCTCCATTGCTTTTCTTTCAGAGGCGGTCAACTGGGGCGGCTCGTTTCCACCGCCTCCACCCGCTCCCGGATTTTGCAGACCCAACTGAGCCAAGTCCGGCTGTTGGTTGTTGCGATTGCCACCGAAAATCCACATTTTAATTCACGATTTCACTTAATTTTTGATGATTTTTAATGCCGAACTTGAGGTTAGGTCGAATGCATGTGTCCACGAACAAATTTTTGACAGACCTCTTCTTCTTCTTCTTTCGCTGATTAGGTTTATTTTTGTTCTATGGCTTTATTCTAGATTTTTTTGGTAGTTATAAGTTATTATTATATTTTTGCACATTTATAATCAAGCATTCATAATACACATACAATTTTCAAAGATCTTTTGAAACATAACCTATAATTTTATCCTAATCTCGTAAAAAGACATGACAACAATGAAATAAAAAATGGATATAATTAAAAATAGGATTACTTCAGTCCTACATGAAGAAACAGAGGGTAAGTGGCTTAAAATTACAAATTTAGAATAATTTTTAATGTAGCTATACTCAGCCTGTAGACAGGGCCGTATTAAGTAATTTAAACGGGCCGTACTAAGCCATTTAACACGTCCGCTGCGTTACGGGGTCGATACGACCGATTCGCCTACCGTGCGGCATAAAATAAAGCATATCCTTCTTAAAATGCGGGAGCAATACTCAGTCAACTTTAAAGATATTTAAATGTTATTGGTACATGTCGAATCCATATTTTATTGTTAATTTTATTTGTCCCAAAAATAATACTGGTTATAAACGGCCCGTAACGCACTGGATGATAAATTTCTCACTGTGTGCGGTACGGGGTTCATCGTCAAGCAGTGACTTATGACGATCTGCGCATAACCTAAGTGTCTTGGCTATAAAATTAAACCAAAAAAGTGAAGTTTTTTTTTAAATTCAAATTTTATGTCATAAAAATAATATTTTTCACAAAAAAAAATAACTCTTTTAAATAAAAATAATTAAGTTTTGTAAATTGAGTATAGCAAATAGAATTCGAAAAAAATTTTCAGAATTTTCAGAACAAGAAAAACACTTTATAGGTAATAAATTTGAAGAAAAAAGTTTTTGGAAAGTTTTTTTAATTCTTATTTTATGCCATAAAATTAATATTTTTCACAAAAAAAAGATTTTTTGCAATAAAATGTAAATTTCAGTAAGGAGCCCCGTGCGGTCGCAGTGAATTATAAAACCAAGCCTCTAGATTACTTTGCCCACTTAATTCCTCACTACTTTAAGCATGTACAAAGTTACAAATAAAAATGCAACACCGTGCATACGGGACACATATATAGGGTTGGGACAGTTGAAATTTTCAAATGAAAATTTCAACTTTGAAAGTTTCAAACTTGAAATATTTCATTTAGTTGGAAAAGTGAAATTTTTAAAAATTTCAAGTGAAATTTTCAATTCGAAAATTTCAACATTGTCTGTGAAACTTTCAAAAGTTTCATTGAAAGTTTCGCAATTTACTGAAAATTTCGCATAAATTTCACATGCGGCCTCCCCTGGGACCTTTAATAATAATTTACAACAGATTCCGAATCGACCAATAAGAACGAGTTCTCAAGCGTCTGGGCGTTTTTGTTTAGTTCGGCTTGGATTTGAATACACTATATAAGTAATTATTATTATTATTATTATTATAAGTAATTATTGTTACTTAATATGCATAAATTAATTTAAATAATTTAATTCAGTTACCAATTTAATTTGTAAATTAAATCAGACTTTAAAATTTTTTTAAAAGTCATGATTAATTTAAACTTTTACTTTTGCTATAATTGCATCGGAAAACAGATGAAAAATGCCTTTGGCTCATAAAATTTTGACGAAGTTTCTTCAATTTTCGTAAAATTTCAGTAAAATAGATAAAAATATTAAATATATATAAATGAAAGTGGCACAATCTCGTTAGCTTACCAAAAAGTGCTATATCTCTCTTATATACTATAGTGTAAATAAATAAATAAATAAATAAATAAATAAAAAAAAAAAAATTTTAAAAATATTTTAAAAAGAAATCTGAAGATATTTGTGGTAAACATAGGTAGGTATTTACTATTTAAATTATTGGTGGTCAGGAGCCCACAGAGGGGTAGGAGGTAAGAGAGGCAATTTGCCATGGTCCCCGAGTAGGCTTATTTAATATATATAATATATTAAACTTAAAGTGATTGAAATTTATTGAAAGTTTCAATAAATTTCAGAAATTTAGGAAATTTTAATAAATTTCATAAATGTCATGAAAATTTCAAGTGAAATTTCAAGTAAAAGCAAAAAGTGAAATTTTCCCAACCCTACACATATATATATACCCCGTAACGCACCCTGTGCAAAACTAATACCCTGTGCAAAACTAATACCCTGTGCAAAACTAATACCGGACAGTTCTGACCCGTAACGCACCCAGAAATATACTTTAAAAATAACTCCCGCAGCGAACGTGTTAAATGGACTAAAAATTTGTACATTATGTTTTAGATTTAATTCACTATATTTGTGCGATATCTGAATTATCTTATGAGGAAACAGAAAAACCGAACTGGCCATTAAAGTTTTATAGGGAATATGTTTCAAAAAATGTTCCCGTTATTATAAGGGGAGGTGCTAGACTAATGCCGGCTGTACAAAAATGGAGTTCGGATTATTTTAGGTAAAGTTTTTAATTTGTTGTTTATTATTAATTGTTGATAATACATTTTAGGACGAAATTATCTGATAAATCAGTTACTGTAGCCCTAACACCCAATGGATATGCAGATGGGTTAAATAAATCAGAAACTGGTGTATTTTTTGTATTGCCTGAAGAAAAAGAAGTGAAATTTGATGAGTTTTTGACAATATTGGATCAAAAACAGTAAAAAATACAATTTAAAGTAGATTTTAGAAACTAAAAGTAAATTTTTAGGGATAATTTGATCGCATATATACAAAGACAAAATTCCAATTTAACGCAAGATTTTTTAGAAATTGTAGATGATGTTGGAATGGAAATACATTGGGCATCTGCAGCGTTTGATAAAAAACCAGACGCTGTAAATTTTTGGATGGGAGACCAAAGGGCTATAACAAGCAGTGGGTAAAAAACATAAAGATTGGGAAAAATGAAATGGAGAATTTTTGCTCTAAAGAGTTTAAAATAAATAGCTTTTGTTTAATATCTTTTGAAAACTAAAAACAGATAAGTAAACGAAATCTTAGCAATTGCCTTATTTGGTACCTAATACCCTAATAGAAGTAAAAAAATGACAGTAGGTTACCCACTGGGTGATACCCAGTCGAGTACATATGTATATACAAATATTTTTTTTTTACAAAATCCACAGATTAATTTTTTCCCAATCTTTATGTTACACCCTGTAATTATTACAGAGGTCTACAAAATTTTTTAACAATTAGTTTTTGACATACTGAATCCGAATTTGACCTTGGAAATCATTAGGTTTTCGAGAAATTCTAACCCAAAAGTATAAAAACGCATTTTTTTTGTATTTGAAGCAATTCTGGTACCTGCTTATGATATATCATAATATACTCTTTTTAATTTTATTATTTCTAATAATAACTGCAATATTTTTTTTAGTGCATAAGGACCCTTATGAAAATATTTACTGCGTTATAGATGGCTACAAGGACTTTATTCTCATACCACCCACAGACCTACCATTTGTACCAACCCAAACATACCAAGTAAAACGTTACGAAAACGTTACAACAAATCGCTATGAAATGGTAAATGACGACTCTGTAACAGACGTCAAATGGGTAGCAATAGATCCCTTAAATCCGGACTACGATAAATATCCTGAATTTAAAAAAGCACATCTGTATAAGTTTCGTTTAAACAAAGGCGATATGTTGTATTTACCCAGCTTGTGGTTTCATCATTTGCAACAAAGTCATAAGTGTATTGCTGTAAATTATTGGTATGATATGGAGTTTGATATTAAGTATTGTTATTATAAAATGCTGGAAAGTATTTGTTAAGATAATAAATAGTTGTGATGTAATAAACGTTGTTTTTTTGGTTGAGATTTTGAACCTGGAACAATCAGTTTCTCTTCCATTTTAAATTTGACATTTTTAACACTTGATAGATTTGGTTGGTTGCAACAACGGCCTATAAAGTAAAATAAAACTCAAAATAACAGTAATTAAAATATTTATTCAATAAAATTCATCTATTTGGTTTATCTAGCTAAAATAACGTATTATTTACAACCAGGTTTGTGTATATAAAACCCGAACTCTTTAAGCTTTCTATACAAAGAAATATATTTCCCTGCTGATGTCGTTCTAGGCACGATAAACTTCTCACAAAAAACGGTTTTACTCGAGGCCGCTTTACTCAAACTCCCGTAGTTCAAACTCACTAAAAACGTCAGCACAAAACTGTAACAGTTGTGTTTTTCTTCGTTGTAGGACTTTGGGGACCAGCATTTTTGCTTGCAGATTTGCAGAAGGGTGTTGTCCCAGTGTTCCACCCATGGGCTGGGGGCTTGGTCGAGGAGCAGGCATTGGTCCCATTGTCCCATGCGGTGACGACGGAGGCCGTTTTTGTCGAACTCCACGATGGTACCGGTGGAAGTTGTGACGCCTATGTGGAGATCCATGGAGTTATAATAGTCACTAGGAAAATAATGTACATTGGGAAATTAATGTTGTTTTTAAATTTACTACTTTGCTTAAAATTATTTAAAACTTTTTAACAATAATATTAAGCAAACAATTCTTAACAACCCCTAGACCACTAAATATTTTTGCAACGTTGCAGAAAAATTGGAAAAATTATGCAACATGCAACATTATGTTTATGCAATGTTTACAATGTATAGGTACATATTATAATATGTATCATATGTATACATTAGAGTTTTTCAAAAAAATTTTTTTTAAGAACATTGAAAAATCGATAGAGTATCGCTAGACATAGTCTGTGTTAAAATATGAGCTTTTAATATCAATATTTAAAGGTCGCTCATCGCAATTTTCTATTTTTCATTTTAGTAGCACAGAGGAATTTTATTTGTTTGTTTGAACTCTTATAACTCAGGAACTATTTATTTTAGAGAAACTAAGAGGTTAAGAGACTAAGGAAATTTCATGCTCCACAAAGATTTACGTAAGTCGAGTCGTTTCGATGATATATATATATATATCAAAAAAAAGACTCAAACATTAAGCCGTTTTAAATCATTCGACTATTTACTATTACGCAACAAAAATATTTTATAATGATTAAATGTTCAATATTTAAACACTTAAAAAGTACTAAACCTAATTTAAAAAATGCTGCCTTCGTAAATTTATTATACTGCCCTACTATGGAGAAAGGCATTAACTACAAAAAAATTCTTAATGCGATTTCTTGTGCTATGATAAAGCTATGGACATTTTGTATCTTAATTCAACTAAGAAATGCAGTAAACTATCTCATAAGTTAAATAAATCAATTAAATATCTTCTGCTTTTTATAAAAATTTAGTTAATGCCAATTTTTCAGAGATTTCTTGTTTAGCAGTTACTGCCTTTCTCCATAGTTGGGCAGTATAGCAGTGGAGGGGTGGCAAAAACAATTCAAACATTTTTTATACCTAATTATAAAATATTTTTTTTTTTATTTTTTTAGCTTTAAGAAAACTTTTGAATATCAGTTAGTGGCAAGTGGGGAAACAAGTTTTTCGATATTAAAAATAATTAAAAACTAGGTATTAAAGATCTAAAATGTCATGTCGGAGAGACATGATATAATTCATATGTATTAAACATGATATAGCTAATAAATTGGATTTAAAAGAAACAATTATAGAGTTTATTAGTTTATTTAAGGTGCGTATAAAAGCACTTTTGCTATAATTACTATTGTTTTTATTTTCAAAGGAATGCAATAGTTATTAGGTAGGTATGCGATATTTTGGAAATTCATAAAAGTAAAAAAAATTAAAAGTAAAAAACTTGAACACTTTATTAACCAACTAAGATTATTGGACTGTTAAAATACGCTCCCAAAATGTTTCCCAATACATATATATCACCCTGTACCTATAAGCAAAAATATAAATTGTGTTACTTACTTAAGAAAGTCCCCTGTAGTTGGTTTTATGACAACTGCACAAGGATATTGGGATGCCCTAATAAAAGGGTAAGGTACTCTGAAAGAAAAAAACACAATATATTATATTTTTGAAAATGAAGGGATTTAATTTATAAAATAAAGCGCGACCTGTTAGTGATATCTGATGAAGCCTAAATTTAACAACGTTTCTCGTGAGGTCAAATTCCATAAAAAAGTAGAAGAAAATTTATATTTTAATTTCTATTCTATTCTATTTTAATTTTAATTTTAACTAATTTGCTAAAAACTGGAAAGTTTTATAATTTAATATTTTTTTCAGGTGCATTCACGGTTTTTGTCCAATTGTAACAGATATATTGTTCTAATTATAATTATAACCGAATAATTTGCTAAAAACTTTATAATCATATATTTATAATTTAATATTTTAATCCCGGCACATTCGCCATTTTTGTAAAAATATATATATATTATTTTTGAAAATATTAGTAGGTACCTATACTATGCTTTTTCTACTCCAATTAAGAAAATTTATTAATAACAAAATTTATTATAACCAAAAGTGAGGTGATTTTAATGATCATTATATATTGTATTTATACATCTGTTAAAAAGTTCCAACCTCACTTTTTCCCAATTTAAAACTCATTGCCAATGATTGAATATTCACTGCGATTTTACTAATGAGTCATTGGTAAAATCATAGTGAATATTGAAATCAGCCAAACAACTTGAATAATAAGTTGTTAGGCCGGGCTGTTATAATGGTTACAATTACAGGGTGTCCGGGAAAAGGAGGTCAATCCGTTAACCAAATATTCCTTGAGTTAAAACAATAAGACTTTCATAATACCATTTTTCAATTTAGAGCTTCATGTTCGATATAAAGGGCGACAAAGTTTGAAATTAAAAACTGATTTTTTTAATAATTCGAGTAATTGATAAGATACTAAGTTAAAATTCGGTACATTACTTCAACATAAATAGTTACATTTTTTGAGAGCAACAAAACAAAAAACAATTGTCAAATAATCAAAATAGGGGGGTCCAGTACTCACTGACTCCCCCTATTTTTTAGTACGTGCGCCAATGACTTCCAAACGGAATTTTTTCAGCTAATCATTTATTGTTGAAAATGTTTTGTCTCTTATAAAATTTTGATAAAATGATTTGTTTTAGAGATAATTTGTAAAGTATGGGTCAGTCCATATCAAATTTTCAAAAAAAAAAATTTTTTTTTGAAAAAATGTAGGTCATGTGATATATCATAAAAAAGTTCTTTAATAGGGCTTTAAAATAAGCCATCACTCACCTTTCTACTTTTAATAGTTTACGAGATATCGCTATTTTTGTAAGTACTTTCAAGACCCAAATTTATCGGAATTTTTTGATTTTCAAAAATCAATAAAACAAAAACCACCTATCGAAAAAAATTCATATATGGGATTTTTGAGTTTTTTAGTGAGGTAAACAAATTTACCAAAAATGATCAAAATCGGAGATGGTGGGGGAAGAACCTTTGGTTGATTTGATATGGACTGACCCATACTTTACAAATTATCTCTAAAACAAATCATTTTATCAAAATTTTATAAGAGACAAATTTTTTTTAACAATAAATGATTACCTGAAAAAATTCCGTTTGGAAGTCATTGGCGCACGTACTAAAAAATAGGGGGAGTCAGTGAGTACTGGACCCCCCTATTTTGATTATTTGACAATTGTTTTTTGTTTTGTTGGTCTCAAAAAATGTAACTATTTATGTTGAAGTAGTGTACCGAATTTAAACTTAGTATCTTATCAATTACTCGAATTATTAAAAAAAATCAGTTTTAAATTTTAAACTTTGTCGCCCTGTATATCGAACATGAAGCTCTAAATTGAAAAATGGTATTATGAAAGTCTTATTGTTTTAACTCAAGGAATATATGGTTAACGGATTGACCTCCTTTTCCCGGACACCCTGTATATAGGGAAAAAATGAGAAAAAAACTAATTTAAATATTTTTTATAGTTAAGATCGACTTATCTTACGTTTGTATATTTGTTTGAAGGCGGTTTGGGTTAATAACCGGCTTATTAAAATTATAACGTTATATTAGATCATTAGCATGATAGTTTTGAGCATTATTAAATTACAATATCTTCGCTAAAGCGTCGGCCTTCAAACTTTGAGCTCAGCCTTAATGCAGTTTTCGAAATAGTTATTTGTGTCATAAGTTTGACATAAATAACTGTCATTAAAAGTTGAATTTAACATTATGTTTCCGTTCGGAACAATATTTTTTTTACAATCAAGTTTCCATTTCTACGTGCGGAAAGATTTTACTTTCCGCATGCAGTTAGTTTCCGTACTGCCAAGCGTGCGGAAAGTAAGGGTGCGCAAAAGTGCAATTTTAGGCACGGTTATGCGTGCGGAAAGTAGCAACGTTCTGCACGCTTGTAGAAAAAGTATTTTTTCTACGACTACTACGTAAAAGTCACATTGCGTACTGGCAATGTTGCTTAGAAAATGAATATTTTCATTGGCAAGGCAAAACACAAATGAAAAGTCCCCCCGAGTCAACAGAAATTGCTGACCTATTTAATTTAAATCATTTTAAGATAACAATGAGTATTTGTCGTAAAAAAATTATAGCATAAAACTCGATTATAAACTTTTCTGGACTCTCATTTAATTAAGCACTCGCTCGCATGCTCGCTCGTGCCTAAATTAAATGCGTGTCTAAGATGGCGTTTATCAAGCGATACATAATAAACTATTTGAAATATACCTTAAAATAATGTTAGCAATACTACGTTAAAAATTAAAAAAAAACACATTTGTTTTACAACCGGTTAATAAAACAAGTAAAACGAAAAATCTTGTTTTAAGTTATCTAAATAATTAATAATAATAGTAACAATTATATAACCGATATCGTGTATCTATTAGGTCACTCCACATTTCGTATAAATTAGTATTTAGCGTTTTTTACATAAATTATATTCTATATATATAAATATATTATATCTATATTATATCACATTTTCTCCAAGAAATATTGTTAAAAAAAGAGAAACTTTTAACGACAAAACCATCTAATAAAATTACTTTAACGATGTTTTAAACAATTATTATATTTTTTATTAGGCATTGTTCAGCACAAATGATACTCCGTTTTCTCGGGTTATGATGAATTCCTTTTGGTTAAACGGTGAGAAAACTCATTCTGACAATTAGGCGAATAACTATACAATTTATTTTGTTTTTTCATCCGAACAGTTAGGAAAAGTGTAGTTTTGCAATCGGATGTCGTATTAATGACCTGTAATGACTTACCTAAATGGCAATAGTGAAAAATTGGCAATCGAGAGATCATTTTCACAGATCGGGCAATATTCCGGCAGGGAGAAACAGAATACTTTTGGACCGCAGTGCTGAAAACATATTACTCCTGGATCCATTTGTTAAAGCTGAAATTTATAAAAAATATAATAATTAATATATCGCAGGCAAAAAAACACAAGGCAAGATATATCCTATAGGATTGTTTAAAAATTTGTGAAAAATTTAAAGGTCTATATGGAAGGAAAATATAAAATAAAGTATTTGATTAAAAAAAAAAATATATATATATATATATATATATATATATACGAATTTGACTGAAATATCGAAAAAAAAATAGTTTTTTTCACAATATCTCAAAAACAAAGCAGAAATGATTTTTTTGGAATCAGCGCACCAAAGCAACAAGCAGAAAATTATAATTTGTCAACCTGTGTTATTATTAAATAAATTAAAATTATATACATAAATGAATATAACCGATCTCATGAGAGGTGCACCTTACACTTTACTGACAAATTATTTTTTAAGTTAATAACAACTATAAAGATTTATTCGATTTTTGTATACCATGCAGTTCATTAACTACTGAAACATTTGAATTAAACAACATACGTGAGATCTACTTTGACAAGTAAATTATTTACATATCAAAGTAAAAGGTTTCTCATTATCTTGGATTGGAGCAAATTACTAAAAATAATACAATATTTGCAGTGTTATTATTATTTTTGGTCAATCGTTTGAACTTTTATTTTAGAAATCGCCCGAATTGTTGAAAAAGATAAACAATTAAAAACTTATAGAACCTCGTCACTGTGTTTTGATAAACAATTAATAAGACCTAAATAAATCGATAATTAAATATAAATTTTAAAATCAAACAACTATTTTTTATGGTTATAATTTTAAGATAAAAATTTATACAAATATGATAAATCTTGTTAAAAATGCTTTCTAAAGCCAAAACTCTTGAAAGTTCGCTTTGTGAATTTTTTTAAATGCTATTAAATTGTTTTTTTTTCTGAAAGGGTCCAAAGGGTATCTTAAATATTAAATAATAAAAATGTTAAAATGCATATTTTAATACAAATACGTACAGGGTGATCCCCTATAATGTCGCCCCCCTTTAACTTTTTTATTTTAAGTGTCCCAAAAAATTTAAAAGTGTGGTTATGTAGGAACTAAAAAATACTTTTTTCTACGTTTAAAGAAAATTGGAAAATTGATCAGTATACAGGGAAAAACAAAAAGTTTATTTTTTTTCAATGGATCACCCTATATATGTATTTATTTTTCGATTCCTTGTAAAATTCTAAGCATATTTCATATAACATACCATATACCTAAATTCAACCGTTTCTGAAATATTTAAATTATTTTTAAGATAATATAAGTTGAAATAGTTTGTGTTTCTCTGTCTGAGTACCAAATTTTTACTTATTTAACAAGACATATTGACATAATGTGACTATAGTAATTTATTTTAAATAAAAATTTTAGTATACTGAGGCTTCTTGATTTCTAACAGTTTAAAAAAACATTAAATGATAACATTTCGATTGCGAATATTTCAGAAACGGTTGAGTTTAGGTATATGGTTTGTTATATGAATTATGCTCAGAATTTTACAAGGAATCGAAAAATAAATTCATATATAGGGTGATCCATTGAAAAAAAATAAACTTTTTGTTTTTCCCTGTATACTGATCAATTTTCGAATTTTCTTTAAACGTAGAAAAAAAGTATTTTTTAGTTCCTACATAACCACACTTTTAAATTTTTTGGGACACTTAAAATAAAAAAGTTAAAGGGGGGCGACATTATAGGGGATCACCCTGTACAAATTAAAAAATAAGTAATACAAAATCCCGGAATAGACTTGAACAAAAACATAAAAAAGTGTATAATTTGGAAATAAGTTTAGAAACGTGTCTAGTTAACATATCAATTTTTAAAAAAGATATACCTATAGGTATTATTGTATGGACAAATTAGTTTTTTTATTCTAATGATATCTTTGTTGAGAAATTATTAAATAGACCTGTTAACTAGACATGTTTCTAAACTTATGATTATAATTATTAAAAATATATAAAAATAGACAAACAAATAATTTTAAAAATATTAAGAATACGGTTGGTCTTCAAGGACAAATAATTAAATTAATGCAAATTTATAAAAATCTTCCACAATTTTATACCATATAATTTCAAAATTAACAAACTTAATAATTTAATTAAGCATAAGACTTAATTATTTGTTTAAAATTTTTGAGGGTTAAAAATAAAAATTATTAATATTAATTATTTCGTATTTATTTTTAATTACAGATATAAAAAAGTCTCATGGACAAAACTGATAATAATCACCTGATGTAATTTCTTATAAAAAGGTAATTATTTTTTTTATGCAGATTAATTAATAAAATAATTAGTCAGTTATTGCACGCATACTCAGGTGTTAAAGTAATTAAATCTAAAATAAAAATATGCATAGATATATTAAGATCTTTGATTGATATTCGTATTAATAACAAGTATAAGTGTTTTTTAGATTTGAAAAATATATTTTTTAATAGTTATTTCCGTTTAAATCCTTCAGGTAACAGATTTGAATCTTTAAATTTAAAATTTATGAAAATTGTTATATGCTTGAAAAAATAATATTTTTTAGTTATTTCCATTAAAAATCATCCAGGGAAACGATTTTGAAAATCTTGTATTTTAAAATTAAAAGGAAATACAAAATAAATATATTTTTTCTATTGTCCAAAATTGAAAATAATTTTGTAATTATTAAAAAATTATTTTCGCAAACAAGGCAAACAAAATATTTCTTTAAAGTAGGACGTCAAATTAACAAAATAACTATACAAATTTATTGTTTTAACCATTTTATTTATATTTTATTTGTTTACACTACCTCCAAATAAAAAAAAGCCTAAACCTAAGAAATTTAATATATTTTAGTTATGTATTTCCATTTCAAATTGTCCAAGTAAAATATTTTGGACATTTTTTATTTTTAAATTTACAGGAAATACAAAATAAATTTAAAATTATTTCGTAATTATTAAATATAAAAAAATATTTTAGTTTTGCATTTTTGGAAATAAGGAAAAATGATATTATGATATATTCTGCAAGGAGTGGGGGAAATGTTCGATTAAGAAGCATTAGTTTGATGTGAAAAAAACATTGAATTAAAATACTTACAGTAATAGTAAAATGGGTCACACTGTAGGTACCTAACATCAAAAGAAACTAGCCTCACTCTTTTTCAATTAAATTATTTCTCCTTTATTTCTTTATTTTTCTCAATAAAAATTATTGAATAGGAATACAATTTCGTTATGATAAAAATATAGTATCAGTATGTAAAAATAGCTGTAATTTATTGTTTATAATTGTTGTCTTCTTTTTCTTTTCTTCCACTTTTTAACTGTTTTACCAGTGGGGGTTTATTAGGTATATGCAAAACCGTTTTTTTCGACATTCGTATAAAAGTATATTTGTTAATCAAACCGAGAACCATTGTTAATGTAGCGATGGTTCCTAATTAAACTAAAAAAAATTATACACCACCATGTGGCAAAATTTACTGTCGACTAGTGCAATTATTTGTTTAAATAAATGTAACATGTTATATTAAACCACATGTATTAGATAACAATAATATTTAGAAATGAACTGGTTTACCGACCTATTGCCTACACATACCACCTTTTACAATAATTTCTTCTAAATTCATAAAATATATTTTCCCATTTTAAAAAAGAGTTGCAATTTCTATAAAGTAAAATTCATTCACCTATCAAATTTATTTTTTTTAAACGTAAAATAACACTTAATTATTTGCGGTTTACAAAACAAATTAAAAAAAACGTAACCAAACCAAATTCTTTAGTTACAATAAATCCTTAGATAACCAAGACCTACTTATTTTACAACAATTAAATATCTTACATACCTGTTATAATACAATATTACTTTGTAAATAACTTAAATTTCCATCATTCAACCATATTCAGTAGTTGTTTAAGTCGTTAACACATTTAACTTTGTTATTACTTAAAAATGACGTCAAACCGTAAAATAAACGGCCAACGATTGGCGTACGACAAAGCGCAGAATGTGACTGAGTCGCTTTCAACTGTTTTGCGAACAAAACGTAGAGTGCCGCGGTCAAGTAACTTTTGTACCTGTTTCTAAGGTGTTCCTGTTACTGGAACTAGTAACAAAACACCTTTATCTTTTTAAAATAAATATAGCTGTACCGTTTTGAATTTACATCAGAATTTTTTTAAATTTAATTAGCAACAATATTTAATATTTTTTTAAAGTTGCTGAATATTTTTTTGACATTTACCTGGTGAACTATGAGTCATATAGAGGTGGTGGGAACGTCGCTGGAAAGTTATTGTATACATGGTTACCATGGTTACCATTCTATGTTACTTCCGTGTATGAAAAGTGGGTAAATTTTTTTGGAAAAGGGTTAGTAGTGTGGGAGGTGTTTAGTTTTAGAAATTGTAAGTATTATTAAGTTGTATTTTTTATTAAATTTAGGTTTTTATTAAATATTATTTTTTCAAGATTTTTTGTATATTAAATCGATAGGCAGGGAAGTTGGTGATATATACCACGTGCGGTTATTGTAGTTTCGTCACGCAAAAGTTGCTTTAATTAAAAGTGAGTGATTGTAAACGAAGTAATTGGAAATAATTTTATTTAGTTAAAATGAATAAAATAATCATAAAATGAAATATTTTCGTTTTTATGGTATTGGTTAATTAAAAAAAATATGTTCGAATAATTTTTTAAGGTTCTATAATATATTACAAAAAAATATACATAAATTAGACTAAGAAGAAGTGGGGGACTAAGCCCGTCGAGGCCCGGGGCAGTAAAGTAAATTTTGTCCCCCAGTCTGCTTATGAAATGATGTGATTATTTTGTAAATATTATTGTTATATTATTTTAAATTGGTTAGTAGATACTACCAGCAAGTTCTTCGCATCGGGGCCCCAATACTCTTAATGTAATCAGGGACATAAAAATTAATATAATAAGTACAAGTTTTTTCAGCAAACTTGTATTTGAAATGTTAGTTGTATTTTTCTAATTCCTATTCCCGCGGCGACTTTCAATATCGAAATATCAAAATATTAAAAATCTTTTATGGTTTCGACTTAATATTTTATTTTTTTCATAGTTTGAATTTTTTATTCTAGAAACTCTCCGGTATTTTTTTCATTAATCAGTTTTTATTTTATGGTAAAGCTAATTGGTCCTGGGGGCCCCTTGGAGCCAAGAGCCTCGGAAACTGAAATATTTATATTTAAACATACATTAAATTTTAGATTTTTTATTAGACTCAGAAAGACTACTCAAGATTTGGGGGCTCCTTTGCTAAGAAGCTTGTTTATTACTAATTTTAATTCTAAATCTTTTTTATAGAAATTGTTGTTGCTTTATAATTAGAATGGAGAGTTATATGATTTTTTTATAAATATGTAATATTAATAAAGTGATTACACTGGTACAATTACGCTCATAGTTTTGAGTATGCTTTCTAGGGTATTTTGGGACCGCTGATTTAAAAAATAATATCCATTTTACACATAAATATAATAATGAGTGAGTATGAGTATGAGTGAGTATAAGAGACGTATAACCAGCCCCATTTCCTCTTGACTCTCGAACCCCGTACAGGTTTACTTACGCCGATTTTTGTTCTTCCCCAGCAACTGCACGGCTTCACCCGTGTTTGCTGGGTGCGAATGTCCATTGCGTTCCGTACTGTCCCCTATTTGGGGCTCGAGAGCGAGAGGCGAATAGTTTTAATAGCCATTCTCGGGTTCGCCAAGCCTATGCTATACGCTTAGTGGGGTATAGGAGGAGGGACGGGAGGGTGTTGGTTTTTGGGGGACAATTACGCCGACTTAAAACTAAGTACGACGCGGAATCCCCCTAGACCAGACGATTAGTATTACTCCAAACATTTGGGATTACTATTTGGAGTTGGGGAGTTGTTATTTCGCTGCAGGGGTGTAGTTTCCTAGTCGAGGTCTTTGTTTGTTAGTTATTGTCATTGTCCGTGTCCTGGTCAGATAATTCCTGCACTTAAAGTGTGTCAGTTGTTTTTAATAAATTTTGTCCCAAGCACGTTTTGTGGTAGAGTTTTGTCTTTTTTTCTTAAATTCCAAAATTAAGTATTGCATTTATTTATTAGTTAAACAATTGACAAGCGCAATTATTCTGTTATCTAATGATTACAAATCTAGTAGAGTTTGATTATTAGTTTTTTTTTGTTTACGTTAACAATTGTTAGGGTTAGATATTATGATTAATGTGTTAGGTTATTCTGTGAGTCTAGTGTTTATTTTCGGTTTCGTTTGGGATTGCATTACGCACTTGTTGTTGACAGATTTATTGCCCTACTCCGTGTGCCTTTCATATGTTTTAAAGATATCTGTCGTATTTAAATTGCAGATTTTGTATTATGTCATGCATATTCTTAAGGTAACTTATCATTTTTTTTTGCGGATGGCCACCTCCCCTTTTGTTTGACCTCCTTTGTCTGTCCCGTGAAAAGCGTCCAATGACAGGTGGCACTTAACTCATTCATATCACTTAACACTTCACTCCTCAATGACAGCTACACCACTCTATGAAAATTGTTTGTTTCACTTTATTAGTTTGCACTTTTTAAAAATTATTGTTGGTTTCAATCTTTAAACTTTTACGTTTTAAGAGCCTTCCCACACGCGTCGCGCGTTCTCAAGCGCTGGAACCGAACTTTAAACATATATATAATAATTTATCAATAAAATTAAATAAATCTTAAAAATAACAAGTAGTTTAATTTATATTACTAGGTTGGCACATTTAACTTGAAGCGAAATTTCAAAATTAAATATTTTAGTCTTAGAGTCTTAGAATTATATTATAAAATGTAAATAAAATCATTAGGAGTAAATGTAAACTGTGCTCTTAGAATCTAATGATTTTATTTACACTTTATAATATATATAATTTTGATCAACAAAACCAGAAAAACGAGGTTTTATCCAAGAAGCTACTAAGAGCACTGAAATAGACAAAAACTATTTTTGCTCACTTCAAAAAATTCATCGATTTTATTTGAAATTTTCCCTGAAAAATTTGACCAGCGACATATTTCATAAAACGTAATGTAAATCACGCCGAAAACAATAAGAAACATTTTTTTCGGGTACTTTCACCACTTAATAAAATTCATCAAGTAGTTGTTAAATCAAGTTTTTGTAAGATTAAGTAGTAAGATCAAAAATGTTTGTTAAATTTTGATGAAAATTACAAAAGTTGTGGTCACTTTATATGTCAAAATTGTGAATTGATTAGATAAGAATTGTCCTTGTCATATTCAAATTATTCCAAAGACTGCAAATGGCTTCGGCTATCGGAAAAATAAAAATGTATTGCTGTTTTTCAATAACGGCAGCAACTCTTTTTATATGTTTTTGTAAAGTAATATTAAGTTACAAAAATATACAACCACTACCCAGTGATGGATTTAGGCATATGCCCGTAGGTCCTAGCCTAGGGCGGCACAATTTTAAGGGCGGAAAAATTTGGAAAAAAAAGGAAATGTTTAACGGTAATTAAATCGCTTACTATGAAAAAAATGTCAATGTTTAAAAAAATGCGTTAATAACGACTTTATAATTATCACTAAAATTTAAAATATTTTACCGGCTCAAACAATATTTTTAAATATTTTCCTGTCTTAATATTTACATTAAATTTTAACAGGAAATCGTTTTAGAAAAAATATTCCAAAGAACCGTGTTTCGGACATCTACAAAAATCAAGTTTTTAATATGGGTGACATATTAGAGCGGGCCTATGACTTCATCTCCATCAAATACGCCCCTGTCCCTACCCCATGGTCAGCGTTAGTGCGCCTTTATTTGGACATACTGTGTATAAAACGATTGAATTCTAACTATAAAAAATAAAATAAGAAAATTCCCGTAACTTTCTCAAAATGGCACCATTCTAAGTTATTTTTGTTAATTTTTTTGGAAAATACAGTAGTTTTAATTTAAAAAATTACTCGGATTATACGTATGCAAACATAATCCATCTCCAAGAGCGGTTTTTATGGAAACAATCCAAATAAGATATCACAAATCAGTTAAAAAAAATTAAATTTTTAAATCATGCGCCTTCAACCTTTAGCATAAAAAACTTTTTCTCAGCCTTATAACATAAATAAATATTACTAAAGTTTATAAATAAATGCTTGGGATTGAAAAAATGGCGAATGCGCCGGGAATATCTTTTTTGACTAAAAATTTGAAATTCATCATTATCATTATATATTTTTTAATTGTTTTTGAATATTTAATATATTAATTACTTTTTATCACTTTTTATTATTCTTTAATTATTTTAATTTTTAAGATTACTTATTTTTTTTATAGTACATTATAGACCTAGGCGGTAAAGTGACATTTTCCAGGCTAAAATAAGAAATTATTTTATAGAAAGAATACAGCCAAAAAAGTTAATTAAAATAGTAAAAATATATTTTGAAATTTCAATTTAACATATTATTAAAAAAAGTAAAATATAATTTTCCTGATTAGCTTTTTATAGGTGTTTTGCAAGGTGAGCGTAAAAACATATACACTCACAGGCAAAATAATCGACCTACACAAATTTTCGATGAATTTCAATCGCAAATAACTATTTTATTTGATGTCGGATTTAAACGCATATTAAAGAATATTGTAGATAAATTAATGGACAATCGCACACAATTTAAAAAATTACTAAAAAATAGACGTACGTTTATAATATACAGGTTTAAACAAAAAGATGTTTTTTACCATAAGTTTAAGACACTCTGTAGAGTGGCAAAACCGTATATTGTTCTAAATTAAGTTTTATTTATCAAGTCACATCTATTCTTTGTTTTGTTTTTGGTTCACCTCGATATATTTATTTTTGTGGAAAATATAATTTTTTTAAAAAAACATTGCAATTTCCAATATTTTTCTGAATGAAGAACTAAGGTTGCTATGGTCCATCCATAGGCTATGGAGAATGACAGTGACATT